ATCGCTTTTTGGCATTTTGATCTTCTACTCAAAGATAAATCCAAACAAATTTTAGAAGTATAAACAGCAACGCGTATTTGTTACTCGGGGTTATGTGTTGCTTAGCGGATGCCGGCATTGGAAATAGGATCGGCAATCCGGGTTAAAAATTCATACTGCGGTTGTTTCGTTTACTTTCAAACAGATACCCTTGGTAAAATCCTGGAACTCTCCTGTTTCTAAGATATAGGTTAAATATCAGCGTAGATTGAGATCTGAAGCTTCGGGAGAGGAGGCTAGGAGAAGAAACCTCTGAATTCAAAACTCTGGAAATGAAACTTCTCCAGGAGTGACCAGCTAGCCGAAGCTTTCTCTCTCTTAGCGAAACTAAGATAGGAGGAATATGTCCATACAGGCGTTTCTTTGTTGGGTGAATATCCCAGCTGATATCCAATACATCCTTGTGTATATTCATTCAAATGATTCTTCTTGGTGTTTCGTCCGTGTCCATGTTGTTGAGCCATAGAGCAAGACAGATTCTCCTGTGGCCTTAAAGAAGTCTCTCTTAACATTTGAGAGGAAGGACATCCAAGACACCCCAGGCCTTGCCTTTACGGATTTTGATGTATCTCTCCGTTGATTTGATTGACCGTAATACATGTATGGTAGCGGCGCACATAGATGTCTTTTAGCCATCGAACGATTGAAATGACAGTTCCTAAAAAATTAAGCTCTACCTTTACAAGAACCACATCAAACGATACATGAAGTGCTGCTGTCATATATGGGCAGAGGTTTCCCTGTGTTCATTTCATGTATACGATTCATCACTGAAGATACTGAAAACATTTTCGGCTACATGTACCACCTGTCATTTGTATGAGTCAGCTTTAGCCGAATATTCTTGTGTTGCTGCCATGCCTGGGCCTTGATAGAGACCAAAAGCATCACCTCTGTCTTGTGAGTGATGAATTATTTTCACCCTTGAAAGCCTTTCTCTATTCTGTCACTATTTTCATGGAAAATGTTGGGAAGACCTGCATTCCTTCCTTCCACGAAACCTCACATCTAAGACACCCCCACCACGATTCCATTCTTATTCTGCTAGTAAGAAATAAATTATATTCGAACAAACTATTCCCCAGAACCGCTTCTTTATGAAACAAAATCTCAAGAGGATGCTTTCCTGACCACGACAAGTCTAGGGTTAATCGCTATCTTAACTACATGTCCATATAAACTGTGTCTGTTGTTTCTTATTCTTATTCCTCACGCAGCAACTACGTTCAATAAACCTCTATATTGAGCGTCTTTCGGGCCTTGTATATAAATCTTAATATATTTTTTTAAATTCGCTAGAGCGTGTAACACTGCAGGTATTTGTTAAGCTAAGATTTATCTAGCAAACGGTCACTAGCCTGAGACACTTATTGAGGATAAAACGAAATAAAATATAGAGAACTGAAAGTTTTCATAGCTAACATTGCTGAACGGTGAGGGATGCTACGAATGTTTTTGCCTTCTATTTATTTCCTTGAAAAGACAAAGATTGCAAAGAAACACCACTGGAAAAAGAAATATTTCTTCCTACGTCATGAAGGGGCATTTGTTTTTGAGTCCCCGAGAATTGCTCTTGCGTTCCTTATTGTAATTAAATGCCCACTGCTTTGTGTGTAAACATTCCTCGCACCAAAAGCAATCGTCTCTACTGGATTTGATAAATGGTAATCCGCTTAGATCTCTTGTTCCATCTGAGAATAATATGATTATACCAACAGGACGTTAATATGCCTAAATAGAAAGTCTGGTCAAACACATTAAGTATCTAATTTATATGCTAATTAAAACCTTACCCAATTACTGGAAACACAAACGACATCGATTTAGGGTTTTCCTTTCTCAAGGGTATTGTGTTATATACAAGTATTCAAAAGTTCAATACAAGCCTCAAAAGCTATTCAAGGTAGTGACTTACTGAATAAATTGTGACATGGATTTCAAAATAGGAAGACATTTTGTAGATATGGAGGAGAGGTAGAGCAAGCGGGAGTGTGTTCTACAAAAAGTGATGGTTTGGAAGTTAGAGAGCTGGTACTGAAGAACTAATACATTTTTGGTCAAATATGTCTTGAAATAATAAGACATGACAGAAGGAATCCCATTTTTGTTGAAAAACTATTGCACATTCGCATGTACGCCAAACATGTCCACTCTGCGATGGCATATACATATTCGGATGTCTAGTCGCTCTGAAGAGCTGTGATACAGCGAAATTGTACTGTTTGCAAATGACATAATCTAGCTCTAGAAATATATTTAAATTGAGCACTGTTGAGTGACAAGCTAATTATAAACAACAGCTACTTGCGCTAATGCAAAGCTCTTCAGTAAAATGAATCGAGCCCTATGGCTGATTGGCATTTGTTTACATTCGTAAAAACAATACGCTAGATTTAGCTGCTTTTCTTGGCCGAATGAAGATATCTCAGTGGCAGTAACTCTGACTGACACCAAATCGGTTGGGTTTCAATGTGTTTGTGTGTGTGTGTGTGTGTGTGTGTGTTGTGTGTGTGTGTGTGTGTTCTTTCATGCACATTTCATTGAATACGACAGACAAGGTTCTTTGATTTAGTTTTTTATACAATTTCTCATGCGATCTAATAATTTTTCGGATGATAAATTGTATAAAAAAACTATCCCATAATTCTTTTTTATTCCAGCGCTTTAAGCTATGCATTTAGTCATTTTCAAGGTTGAAATACAATATATTAACTGTTAACAAGAAATAGTTTGTTGTATGTATGTATTTATATAATGTTTTCATTTTCAATATATATATATATATATATATATATATATATATATATATATATATATAGGGTGTATCAAAAAACTTTTTACACGGATGGGGTCGCGTTCCTCACGCTAAATTAAGGTCAAAAGTCCATATAAATATATGTCCGCAAATCTTTTGTTTTTAAGTTATTAAGTTTAAATTTTGCTGTAGTGGCTGTTATATGTACAATCTAAGATGCAATCCAAAAATATTTTTACAAACTTTGGCAGCGTGTTTCGCACACCAAAACATGGTATTATACTTCAACACAGCAACTCATAGATGTTCAAAATGTCCACTGTTTAATCTCGACACGAATGCAACCATCGGGTCATTGATTGGCGAACCCTTTCAAATTTTCTCACCTCTCTGCAATATTATTGTCTGCTGTATAAATCAATTGCTTTAGGTGACCCCACAGATAAAAATCCAAAGAAATGAGGACGGGGGAACGTGCTGGCCATGGAATCCGTCCTCCCCTACCTATCCATCTTTCATAGTAGATGACAACCATTTCTTCGCGAACAGTGTGATAAATTATGCTGGCGCTCAATCATGCAAGAACCGCATCCGTTTTCGTATTGCCAGGAGTACATCCTCTAGCCAGTTTGGAAGTGTGTTCGAAATAAAGTCCCTGTAGATAGCTTCTGTAAGACGCTCTGGGAGAACATACTGACTTAATAAACAGTCACCTACAATTCCAGACCTCACATTAGTTGTAAACTGATGCTGGTGTCTAGTCTAACCTGTATTGTTCTACGGAGATTGCGATCCGCCCACAAATGCTGTTTGTATAATTTTTTTAATTCCCTCTATTCCAAATGTTGCCTCACCCGTAAAGAAGAAAACGGATCGACAGTTTGTGCAATAAATCATCGGTACAAGTTCTCCTGTTATGGATGATCAACGGGTAAAAGATGCTGCGCATTGTTCAATTAATACAGAAGCAGGTTATGAAGTAGCCTCCATGCGGTATTATGAGATGTTCAACATTCTAGGGCCACTTGACGTGTATTGATACCTGAATCGTCTCCGACAGCCTGTAGAATATGCTTTGCGTGGCCAGGCGTACGAGCGGATCTCGGTTTTCTTGATCCATAACAAATGTAATCAATCGCCCACTGCTGGGCGATATTGCCCAGATTAGGAAACCCTGAATTATACGATATATGATATGCAGATACTTAAGCAGATACAATAGGATACAATTACATTGGAACCAGAAATGCAATATCTATGAGCAGAATATCTGAAAGAGAAATCATCATATTCTTCTTCTTCTTCTTCTTCTTCTTCTTCTTCTTCTTCTTCTTCTTCTTCTTCTTCTTCTTCTTCTTCTATTTATTCAACTTCTGTTATATTTCCTCTCATAAATGTTCTTTTTCTCACAGTTTTTTCTTCTTCTTCTTCTTCTTCTTTTTATTATTATTATTATTATTATTATTATTATTATTATTCAAATACTCCTCCATTTTCTTCTTCTTCTTCAAATACACCTCCTCTTCCTCCTCCTCCTCCTCCTTCTACGCCTCCTCCTTCTTCTTCTTCTTCACCTTGCTCTGCCATCTATTCACTCAAGCTTGCCAGGTAGATTATATATTTTTTTTGTTTTTTTTTTTTTGTTTTTTTTTTTTTTGCTCTGCCTTTTGATCTTCAATCTGTCCTGTGAGTAACAGATTTTACAAGCACTCTTGTTGAATTCTCTTTCGGCTTCTTGCTCCTTGAAAATATTGAATTCAATGCCAATCGTTATGTCCTGTCTTCTTAATTCTAGTTCATTTAATTGTTCTCTCTCATTAATAGTGTTTTTTTCTCATATTCTCTAATATCCAACAACTCTTTGCGCTTTAGTGGCTTTATTGTCTTGCTTTAGATAAAATTTATTGAAAATAATGATTGAACAATCTTTATTTATACCGTAAATTTAGGTACAAATCAAATTCGTAATTAATTTTTCACAGAAACAAAATCCCGTCAAAAATTAATAATTGCAACATACTATCTCAAATATTCTGACAATGCCATAAAAAATAATATTTCTCAGTATAGTCAAATGTGTGTGTATTGGGTGGGGTGAAAATGCTTCGCCAAGTGAAAATACGAGTGTGAGTGTAAATATGCAAGATTGCATATTTTCAATGTAATTTACTTTTTCATGGATTTCTATGTAAGTTGTACATTTAACGATAGATCGATTGATAATAAATGAGGTGAGTTACATAGATAGATAGACAGACAGACAGATAGATAGATAGATAGATAGATAGATAGATAGATACCTTGTGTAAAAACAAAATTCCCCAAATCGTCTAACATCATGAGATAATTGTACATCCTACAAAATGTTTAATATCTAAAAAAAATCACTGAACTAATTGCGTTTATTTTTACCAGGTTTTCATATAAGACGTTTAGCCATCTTGATACCAACTGTTGTAAGAATTACTGAAAGACTTTTTGAGTTATTCAGCTAAAAAGAAAACAGTTTAAAATTGTTTTGAGTCAGCCCCACTGTCTTCCCAACGGAGATCTTTTTTCCTCTCACTAGAAAGATATCTTTAATCATTTTTAACAAAGAATTTTGCTGTTATGACCAGTAGATACTGAACTAATGAGATGAGACAATAAGATAGATAGATAGATAGATAGATAGATAGATAGATAGATAGATAGATAGATCTAATTTGTAATGTAGTTGAGGTCAGGATGAGCGAAGGAATGTATGTGCATCTTTCACGATAAACGCCTAAGTATTTTGAACCATCCTTGATTACACACACGCAGATGCTGACACGTGTGTATGGCTGTGTGCACGCAAAGAAAATTGGAAAGTTTGACAAAATAATCCCGCCTTATCTCATTTTTGCAGTAATTATACGGATTTTTTTATCAACACTTTCTAAGATTTCACTTGCCACGTAGAATAACTTTTTGTTATAAAAAGTTCGACAAGCGCGAATTACATAACGGACTCTCTTAATTAATTTACCTAAATCCTATTATCAAGTCTTGATGGGTCACACACACACAGACATATATATATATATATATATATATATATATATATATATATATATATATATATATATATATATATATATATTATTGTGTAACTCACGATATAAATTAGCAGAACAATTTTACTCAGAGATGCCCCAAAATGGACGTCAGTGAATTGTTCACACGTACTTTGTCATGCAGGTAGATGCACATATTAATCTGCACAAACATGTCGACCTATTCAAATCATGAAACTGTCTGGAGTTCCAACTTTTGCAGACCTACCCATGGCGGTAATGTCGAAGAAGAAAGACCAGACTATACGCGAATAATCCCCTAAGATCCCAATGGTGGAATAGCCAAAGATCTATAGTGGGCTATAGTAAGATTTTAGCCACCCTTGATTACAGCAATTTTGTCTTGTGTAATAATATAATGTCTTTTCTTTTTTTCAGACAATACCGTGTTAATATCAAGCTACTCTCATATATGAATGATAGCTGACTTATATTTTGCAATGAAAGTTCGTGGAAGTAAGGAAATTGGTGAATTTCAATGATTGCAAATCATAGGATGGCATCAGTGTTACAAGTCAAACAGAAATTGCTTGATTTTGCCAGGATAAGCAACAAACGGTTAATAATATTGTCAAGAAATTTAATCAAGAAGGCCAATTTCGTGTGAAATAACGTTCAGGAAGACCAAGTATCGTGTCAGAGTGAACGAAAAGGGTGCTGAATAGGGAAGTCAGCAGAAAAGTCGTTGGAGTGTCAAAGATGTTGCCAACAGCATGAAAATGTGGCCATATGCGGTGAGAAAGACTCTGAAAGAGCTAGGCTATCAAAGAAGAGTTGCAAGAAAGAAGCCCATGATTTCAGAGGTTAATAGGAACAGTCACATGGACTGGGTAAATGAATACGAAAGCAATGATTATGAATTTTGGCAGTCTGTAATTTGGTCAGATGAAAGTAAAGTCTGCCAATATTCGAATTCGGCGACATGGAGGGATTGGAGTAATGGTGTGGGGCGCTGTCTGGTTTGGAGGGAAATCTTAGCTGTTGATGAGTGGTTGAATGGTCTAAAATACTGTCAATTATTAGAGAAAGGATTACTCCCACTATTTGAAACCAATCATTTTGACAAGAATGTCTAACTACTTCAAGAAGATGGAGCGTCATGTCATATGAGCAAAGTAGCAAAGGCCTGGAAGGAAACGCAAGGAATCAAGTCACTCCCATGTGTAGCCCAAAATCCTGGCATGAATTCAATAGAACACGTTTAGGAGCACCTTGACCAAAAACTTCGAGAGCGTGCAACCAAAATCACGTCAGTGACAACCCTTAAAGAAACATTGCTAAAGGAGTGTCAAAATATGGATCAGACGATCGTTGGTCAAATCCATGAAAAATCGAATACACGCACTGAAACTAGAAAATGGAGGACCTACTCTATACTAGTTCCAAATACTGTTTATTTATGTTGAGTTGGGACTATATAATTAAATTTTGAAATTGGATGTAGTTAAATTCTCCTGGCTAAAATCTTTTCTTAGGCCACAGTAAACGATTTCAACGATCAAACCGGTGGCAGAGGAAACGAAAGTGGGGCTGGCATGCAGCAAGCCGGACCTTGACAGACCAAGCGTCCGATCTCGCCTGTTTCGTATCCGATTTGAGCCGAGAGAGGGGCGTTTCTGGTTAGACTCCTCGGACTTTCTTTGATTCACAGCTATCAGAGCCACTGCGACCAGGGGTTGGAGAGAAAAAGGCATAAGGAGAGAGGATGACGAGCGGGTGCCGACAACGACATATATTCAGATGTTATGGTAAACAACTAGCTAGATAGATAGATCAATGCGATAGGTAGATAGATAATGAACTGAATTCACTCTGATAGATAGATAGATAGATAGATAGATAGATAGATAGATAGATAGATAGATGAACGGAATGATGTGTTACATTGGATAACGAACTGCTCACTACGATATCCAGTGCAAAATATATATGGTCATTCCTTGCCATGGAAGAGGGCTTACTTGTCCCAGTAACCCCAGCACTTGTCTTACAGATTCCTCTTTATATATATATATATATATATATATATATATATATATATATATATATATTGATGCATGTTTCATTAAATAATATAGAAAAGTTTTGTCTATTTATTTTAAGCAAATTCTTTTTATATCGCCTGATAAACTGAATAACATTATCATTGCAGGACGAAAGAAAATCATCATATTGATATATGTTTTTAATCTTACCTAAGCTTTCGGCTTGCATAAGCAATCATCAGTGATGACAGGCACATTACTATAAGTTAAACACTACACGGATATAGCAACAATGATAATCTGTTTTGTTTGCATGGAATATTTCCAAGCAACGACAAACTCGGGTATACGATATGAAAGGAATTTGGTTAAAAGCAATAGACAAAACTTTTCTATATTATTTAATGAAACATGCATTAATGAACAAAATGCTGCCTAAATGCACACACAATATCTTACTTATTATAAAAATATGCGTGTGTGTGTGTGTGTGTGTGTGTGTGTCCTATATTGGATCGGATTTCCTACATCTTTCAAAACTTCTTACAGGACTACGTAAAATTATCTTGCAGTGGTTCTGACAGTGTGTGGAAAAACACAATTGTTTTTGCACTGAAATCAATTGAAAACACAATTGCATTAATGACAACTCATATCGAGTTATACTTAGCCAATATGTGTATTATGTTGTGTCCGTTTATATATTTTATCTATGGGATCGGATTTCCTACATTTTCAACCGATTTCAACAAAATTTCTTTTTTGGCAGGTAGTGTTTCTTATTGTCTTGCACACTTTTTCTCTTTATTTTTTACATTCAGAATGCTTTAAAAATTCCATTTACAAGACAACAAAACTATTCAATCGGTAGACTCATAACTATTAAAAATGTTTTTGTTTGAGGTTTGACCAATTCGTAAAAAAAAAAAAAAAAAAACTAAATGCGTGTTAAACAACAATCTTTGTCAAATTTTATTTTTCAGTCTTTATGATGGTCGAAAACATTATCCCCAGGCAATGCCGGGCTCATAGTATATATATATATATATATATATATATATATATATATATATATATATATATATATATATATATATAAAAGAGTGCTCTGTAATACAACAGACTTATAAAATAAATATTAATAAAGCTACTCGAGGGTTCATGCACAATGCAATCTTCAAGTGCTAAGTATAGACTGTTTTTACGCAATTTAAAATTTAAGAAAAACATATCTAGTTATGATAATACGAACATATACACACTTTTGTTTTAACAAAAAATATACCATTCATTTGTGAATATATATATATATATATATATATATATAGAGAGAGAGAGAGAGAGAGAGAGAGAGAGAATAAAAAGAAAAAGAATTTCTTTTATTTTAGAGAATAAGTTCGACAATTACTTATTCATATATATATGCTACAGAATATATATATATATATATATATATATTTATATAAATTTAACAATACATTTTATAATGATTTTTCTAAATATATAAATATATTATATATATATATATCCATGAAAACATTATATATATATATATAAAATTGAAGTGGAATAAGACAATTACGTTAATATATTTTCTGTTTATACATTATATATATATATATATATATATATATATATACATATGTATATATATATATAAAGAGAGAGAGAGAAAGAGATAGATAGATAGATAGATAGATAGATAGATAGATAGATAGATAGATAGATTGTTGTAGCATACCTACTGACGATGATGGGTATGCCCCATTCCCATAAATGAAGTTCTGCTGAACAAACTCTCTGGATCCGGGCAGAGAGTATCCCCAGACGAGGCTATATTGAAGGCCAGAGTCTCGTCTTGGGACACAGCTACACGACTGCTTTTATACGGGGTCTACGCGGAATTTCTGGCCGAGCATACGGACTTGGATACCCCAGATTAAATTGCTGATTGGTCTATTGTGCCACATCTGACCGTATAGGGCGATTGGTAGGGATCCTAGAGTTATAGATTCATTGTGGAATTCACTTGACTCACTTCTAATATTTGACTACTTCTACGCGTGGAAACATATTTCTGTTGTTCTTGTCCTAAGTATTATATATGTATCTTAGCTTACGACATTTTCACGACGATGATTAGCCAAATTTACAATATATATATATATATATATATATATATATATATATATATATGTGTGTGTGTGTGTGTGTGTGTGTGTGTGTGTGTGTGTGTGTATAAAACCCAGTAATTTTAAAAGTTACTCCAAAATTCGCTTGAGGATGAAATGGAACTAATGTCTTTAATTTAATTACAAAATTAAATTCGGAGATTTCAGCTTCCATTTTTGAAACAGGGTTAGAACTGTGTAGCAAAAAAACATTTTAAATCAATTAATTTTTATATATATATATATATATATATATATATATATATATATATATATATATGTGTGTGTGTATGTGTGTGTGTGTTTATGTATATGTCAACTCAACACCGATCCTTGACATTTTGTTTCGTTCTTAAACACGATATTCAGGCCATACAAATTGAATTCCCGAATGAGACAGATTATTTGCCAATCGGTGTTGAATTTAAAGTCCACTTTTATATCTACATATGCTATATATATATATATATATATATATATATATATATATATATATATATATATATATATATATATATATATAAATGAAAACAGACAATAGGAAAACTCTCTGTAGCTTTAGATAACGCGTTTTTTTCCAATGTGGAATATTTCCAGGCAAAAATCGAAATAAATTTATTGAAACAAAGTTATTTCTTTTTAAATCAACTCTCCAAGATTTGGTTCACTAAGTTAAAAAAAAAATCAGTTGATTTTGGTAAACAACTGAATTTGGAACTGAGTTTGTCTGGACGGAAAATGTTCGATGTAGCGGGCGCAGATAAGACATCAAAGGGGATTGAGAAACCACTCACGCTCACTGAAGAGATCGGTGAGAGAAGATAATAAAAGAGAAGGTGAGGAAAGGGAATTCCCTAAAGTTATGATGTAACGCGGACGGGATTCACCGAAATGCTCCTACCTCGTCGTGTTTGGTCGAATGTCCATAAATACGAATGCGCGAAGTGAATTGAGTAGAAAAGAGAAGAGAAACAGAAGAAATAGTGACGAGACACGAGACAGGAGAGAGGCTGACGTCATAATCTGCCGAAGAAAATCCCCGACTTCAGCCTTATGCCCAATCTTATCAACAACAGCAAACCAAATATTACAAGGTCAACAATAATATCACCTCCGATTTAGACGCGGGCTGGGATCATAATTAATTGCATGGAAACTCTGATATAAACCAATTATTGTACAGAGGACTGATATAAAAAACAGTAATTACTTTTGTTGTTCATGATGACGGTCGTCTTCGAGTATAGAATCCAGAGGTTAGCAGTGAATATTTCGAAGACAGTAGGGAAGCGTTGTTCAGGTTAGCAGTGGACATTTTGGTAAAATTAGCAGAGCGTAGTTTGTCCTTCTGTTTCTCTTCGCCTGACAAGCTGGACTGGATATTCGGGTAGAGTAAACAAAATGGCCGCCTTTATACACAACGGATTGAATGTTCTACGTCTTCTGATTGGTTAACCTTCTATTGGTGGACTATAAAGTGAGTCAAGTCACTTGGGCTAACTCACTAGTACATACATATACACAAAAAACTGAAACAACTTTTGTTCAATTTATTCGAGTGTTATTTGTTTGCTATACGCCATCGCCCTGCTTAGACCTGACCAACATGAAGATACCTACGACGATTCAATCTTATCTGCTTTAAGGTTAGCTCTGGATTGAAGCGGTCACTTTGTGGCGGACTTCACCACATTAATTTAACTTTAGATTAGGAAACAAAACAGACGTGGAAAAGGATAAGCAAAAGACATCATTGCACACAAAATATGTATTTAACAAGATGTACAATATCAAACAACGATGTGAAAGAAAGCATGCATTTAAGTAAGAAAATGTTGAATAAAACAAGGGTTGTCTCACTTTAAATATCATTTGTATTTCAATGTTCACTGAAAGAATGTTTGTGAAAGTTTCTTGTAATAATTGTTCTCAGAAGATTTGCTGTGTAAGAAAAGATTATGTGAGTGTATAAGGGATGTTCAGCATGAACGGTGGCGTAAGTGAGAAGGTTGGCGCATGGTTTCAACTGTCGTGTTCGGCAGCTGAATTCTCAGTAATTAGCTAAGAAACATTCTTGTTTATATAAGTGACTATAGGCTCCATATCGCTGTGTGGAAAGAATGATTCTTCACGTGCAGACAATCTGATTGGTTGGCATAGACCAATCAGCAAGCGAGCTTTGGGGAGACTTAAGAAAGCTTCTGCGATCCGTTTCTCCCAAAATTGCACAAAACTGACTACATGAAAATAGAACGATTACAAAATTGTCGCATTGTTGCGATTTGTAAATTGTCTATAATAACGTAGAGGTGATTTATTAACCAATGAATGCTTGGCGTTGTATGTGATTTGTATCTGTGTATGTACGTATGTATGTGCGATATAAATCGGCGCAACTTCAGTGACCAGTCGTGGTGTTGGAAGTCTTGGACGACAGAAGAGGGTTTTGTCTTTGTATCTGCTTCATACATTGGCCGGGTGAACAGTACGAATTTTCTGTCGCAAGAAAGAAAAGAATAACAACGACATCCTCATGAATTTGGATGACAGAACTAGATAGTTTCCGAATCAACAGATATAATTTTTAAACACTTTTGAACTAAGTTGATTTTATTTCTTTGGAAAGAATATTAGAATAATCCAGAATTCATGCTGAGAGCAAATCGCCTGGATTCGGGTAGAAAAGGAGTTCCGTAATTAGACAAAAATAGAAAGTGGCTTACGACAAGTACGTGTTTTCTCACAGGACTTATTAAGTATTTACAGTAGGGCGGTACTGAGAGAATTAGATGTCCTACCAGGATTTATTATTGGCGTCTACAATCATACGAACATAACATATGAATAAGATATAGTGCTAATATCAGACACAGGAAATTACAAAACCTATTAAACAAGGTAGTAAATGAAGGCAAGAAGAAAGGGATAACTATCGATTGTAAGAAGACGAATTTTATGGTTGTCATCAAAAGGAATAATCCAAAGTGCGAAGTACGAACCAAAGAGACCAAAATCAAGCAAATAGAAAAATTTAAATATCTAGGAATGTTTTTTTTTTAACAGAGAACGGAAAATATGACACTGCAAGCCGAAGGCGAATTTGAATAGCGACAACGATGCTTTTCTAAAGCTAATCAATGTATTAAGAAATAGGAAAATTTCATTAGAAACAAAGAAGAGAGTAGTGACATGTTATACATTATCATTCCTCTTATATGGCAGAGAATGCTGGACAATCTCTCCACAGATGAAGAAGAGACTTGAAGAAGCATAAATGTGGTTCTACGGAAGGATGATGAGAATGTGAGTATCGACGAAGTTTTAGGGAAAATGGAAACAAATCCTTGATACTTAGAATCAGAAAGATGCGGCTGAAATTTCTTGGGCACAAAATGAAGATGCTTAAGAAATTTGACAGTCAATGGAGATAATGAAGAGGAAAGAAGTGAATAGCCCCTTTAACGAACTTGCGTCAGTTGTTGGCAGAACAAGGATCAGGATATATAGAAAAAACTTTAGTAGGAGCCACAAAGGCCAGGAAAATGTGGAGAGTCATGATCGCCCACATCTTGAAAGGAGAGGGCAGAAGAAAAAGAGGAAGAAGTTATCCTCAAGATATTAGCGATTTAGATTTTAGCAAGGACGAAAAAAAAACATGAAGAATCATGAAGGATATATAGAAAAAACTTTAGTAAGAGCCACAAAGGCCAGGAAAATGTGGAGAGTCATGATCGCCCACACCTTGAAAGGAGAGGGCAGAAGAAAAAGAGGAAGAAGTTATCCTCAAGACATTAGCGATTTAGATTTTAGCAAGGATGAAAAAAAAACATGAAGAATCACTATCTCCTAAATCCTATTATCTGTAAACTGAAAAGAATTCTCTTAAGTTAGTGGAATGTTTTTAAACTACTTTTTTCACTGTTTGGCATTTTTTCTTTCTCTTCCACTGGTCGCAACCCAAGGATAGCCACCCAACACTATTATTTTACATATAGATGTTTAGAGAACAGACAAGTTAATGCTTTTCCGGATGAGATTTACGGGAAAATAAACGCAACACATTTACCCGGAATTTTAGATATTGCAATAAATTAGAGGTGTGAAATGACGCTGAGTATACGTATACGATGTCAATGGCGGAAGCAGCAAGAAAACTCTAAAATCACCAGCTTTCATTTTTTTGTTTTTTGTTTTTTTTAACAATCTAGGGTTAGGATCATTATTTCAGAATATTTCCTTTGATTATTTTGCGAGTGTCCATCGCTTTTATTGGACTTTGAGTTTGTTTTTTTTTAAAGATTCGTTTAGACTTCTCGTTGCAGTTTGAAATAAGTTTAATTTCCCAACATATTCGGCGATTATTTTTTCGCGCTGTTTTATTTTATTGTTTGTTGTTGTTTTTGTTTCCTTTCATCTTCATCCCTTCTTTAGGATCTTTGACCTATTCGTTCTTATATACTTCTTTAATAATCTGTTTTTTTATGTTTGTTTGTTTTTTTGTTTTTTTTTTGTTCATATTTCTTTATTCATTTTAGATTCCCTTTCATTGTACTTCACCATTCATTTCA